GAAGAGGTGTCAACTTTCACGTATCTGGGTAGTATCATTAATGAACCTGGAGGATCGCATGCAGACTTAAAGGCAGGGATCGGCAAAGCAAGGACAGCATTTCTACAACTGAAAAACGAATGGAACTCAAAACAACTGTCTGCAAACCAACATCGAAGTCAGAATCTTCAATACGAACGTCAGGACAGTCCTACTGTACGGATCTGAAATATCAAGATAACTAGCACAACCAGCATCAAAAAGGAGCAAGTATTTACAAACAATAGTCTACGAAAGATTCTCAATGTCCGTTGACCGGATATCATCAGTCACAGACTACTATAGGAGAGAACAAACCAGGTTCCAGATGAGGAGTATTTTGGGAAAAGTCACTGCAATAGGATAGGACACACATTGTGGAAATCACCGAACTGCATCATGAACCAAGCGCTAACAGTGAATCCTGAAGGGAGACGGAAAAGTGGAAGGCCGAAAAACACACTGTACTGAGAATTGGAAGCAGATATGAAAGGGATGAATAGGGACTGTAAAGAACTGGAAAGGATTGCGTAGGACAGACTTGGATGGAGAATAATGTTGAGTGGCCTATGCCCCCCCATGAGAGGTAACACGTATAAGTTCTGAATACAAAGAGATCCTGAATGTCCTATTTTGTTTTTGTTTTAGTTTATGAATTATTAACGTTGAAGTTTTTTCACGCCAGTTACTATACTATAGTGTCCCAAATCGAATCATTTGGTATCAAAGAAATTTAATCGTACTGAAATTGCAAACCACTGTAGTCCTGTACCGAACCTTCATCAAAAGTTATAACACGTATATTCTACACTGTACAATATAAAGCATTCTGTGGAGACAACTTCCGATTACAATTGATTGATCACTGGGTGGTGATCAATCTCATGCTTGTCTAGTCCTTATTAGTGCAGATCGAATGCTATCGATCATGTTGCAATGTGGCCACCAGTCTAGGTGACTCGACACTGCGGGCACTATGTAATGAGATTAGATGGTGGTTGGAGGTAGTCAACAGGAAACCCTGGACCCGGGTTTCGTGCTACTTGGCACTCGTCAGCAAGGTGTACCTGTAATCTTGAGGGAACTGGTGCTCCCTGGCGGATTCGATCTCGTGTCACCCAGCTTCACAGTCAGAGACGATAGCATTCGATCTGCACTAATAAGGACTAGACAAGCATGAGATTGATCACCACCCAGTGATCAATCAATTGTGATTACATCTCAGTGCTACAGGAGGTTAGTCACGGCTCGGATAGCTCAGTGGTAACGTCTCTGACTGTGAAGCTGGGTGACACGAGATCGAATCCGCCAGGGAGCACCAGTTCCCTCAAGATTACAGGTACACCTTGCTGACGAGTGCCAAGTAGCACGAAACCCGGGTCCAGGGTTTCCTGTTGACTACCTCCAACCACCATCTAATCTCATTACATAGTGCCCGCAGTGTCGAGTCACCTAGACTGGTGGCCACATTGCAACATGATCGATAGCATTCGATCTGCACTAATAAGGACTAGACAAGCATGAGATTGATCACCACCCAGTGATCAATCAATTGTGATTACATCTCAGTCCTACAGGAGGTTAGTCACGGCTCGGATAGCTCAGTGGTAACGTCTCTGACTGTAAAGCTGGGTGACACGAGATCGAATCCGCCAGGGAGCACCAGTTCCCTCAAGATTACAGGTACACCTTGCTGACGAGTGCCAAGTAGCACGAAACCCGGGTCCAGGGTTTCCTGTTGACTACCTCCAACCACCATCTAATCACAACTTCCGATTAATGATATAAATTCTTCCCAACAATCTATTGTATTTCCAAAATGTTTAGTCAACGAAATTAAAACGAATTAACACTATTTTTGTATTTGTTGAACAACTAATCGTTTCAAGATGAGTCAAATGTGTACAATAATTAGCTGAAATTACAGCTTAGAAATAAGAATATCACTTAACTAATAATAAACTTTCAGACAAATCAAGAGCGGCAAAGCAGCAGGACCAGATAACATCCCAGCAGAGGCACTGAAAGCAGACGTGGCGATAACTACTTTACATTATCTTCAGCAAGGTTTGGGATGAAGAACAAGTACCAACAGACTGGAAAGAAGGACTTCTGGTCAAAATACCAAAGGCGATCTCAGTAACTTCGATAACTGCTGGGGCATCACTCTTCTCTTAATACCAGGAAAATTCTTCAACAAGGTATTGTTAAACAGAATGAAGGACTCCGTAGATGCACAACTTCGAGACCAATAGGCTGGATTCCGTAAGGATCGATTGTGTACAGACCAAATCGCAACTCTACGAATCATTGTAGAACAATCAATTAAATGAAATTCATCACTGGACATCAACTTCATTGACTACCAGAAAGCATTTTATAGCGTGGACAGAACAACATTATGGAAGCCCCTTCGATACTACGGCGTGCCTAACAAGATAATGTCGTACAGAATTCCTATGATGAATTGAACTGCAAAATTGTGCATGGAGGACAGCTCACAGACTCGTTCGAGGTAAAGACCGGTGTCATGCAAGGTTGCTAACTCTCACCCCTTCTCTTTCTCCTGGTGACCGACCGGATCATGAAGACGCCAACATCTGAAGAGAAGCACGGGATACAGTGGACAGATAGGATGTAGCTGGACGATCTAGACTTCGCAGATGATCTGGCTCTTCTATCGCAAACACAACAACAAATGCAGGAGACGACCAGTGTAGCAGCAGCCTCAGCAGCAGTAGGTCTCAATATACAAAGGGAAAAGCAGGATTCTCCGATACAACACAGAATGCACCAATCCAGTCACAATTGACGGAGAAGATTTGGAAGATGTAAAAACCTTTACATATTTGGGCAGCATCATTGATGAACACGGTGGATCTGATGCAGATGTGAAGGCGCGGATCGGAAAAGCAAGAGCAGCATATTTACAACTGAGGAACATCTAGAACTCAAAACAACTGTCAACCAACACCAAGGTCAGAGTTTTTAATACAAATGTTAAAACAGTTCTACTGTATGGGGCAGAAACCTGGAGAACTACGAAAGCCATCATCCAGAAAATACAGGTGTTTATTAACAGTTGTCTACGCAAAGTACTTCGGATCCGTTGGCCGGAAACTATTAGCAACAACTTACTGTGGGAGAGAACAAACCAGATCCCAGTGGAGGAAGAAATCAGGAAGAAGCGCTGGAAGTGGATAGGACACACATTGAGGAAAGCACCCAACTGCGTCACAAGACAAGCCCTCACATGGAATCCTGAAGGTCAAAGGAAAAGAGGAAGACCAAAGAACACATATCCTGGAAAATGGAGACAGACATGAGAAAAATGAACAAAAACTGGATAGGACTGGAAAGGAAAACCCAGGACAGAGTGGGTTGGAGAATGCTGGTCGGCGACCTATGCTCCATTGGTAGTAACAGGAGGAAATAAGTAAGTAATAACAAATTTGTTATTCTCAGTCGATGAATTATTAGACGATTATAACTGCCAACTGCGTAATGTAAAAAAACAACAATCGATTGTAGGTTCACGTATTCGGAGCTTTGAGTGACTTTTGTATGAGGGCTAGTGCAAATATCCGATTACACAAATCAAAAAAGTAAGTCTAGATCGAAACTGTAACCCAATTGCTTTAATCACTTAGCTATCGCTCCAACATGATATATAAGTGCTTGGCGGTTGAGAAAAAAAAGTTGTATTGATGTTTAACCTTGGATCTGTCTGAAAAGAACTGTGAATGATCATGCCGTTGAGATTGATAGTTTACGCTTGATTACTCGTTTGTTTATTATGTTCAGAGAGGGATTTCGTGGACATTATAGAAATTTAGTAGTTGAATTCATGAGTCAATTGAAGCTAGACCACCTGGATTCGAATCTCACGAGGCGGGATCGTGGATGAGCACTGCTGAGGATTCCCATACTAAAATGAGATGGCCGTCCAGTGCTTCCAGGTTTTCCATGATGGTCTAGCTTCAAATGACTCATGAATTCAACTAATAAATTTATTATGTGTCAGGTACCAGGTACGATGATTAAAGATAAGAAAGGCATCATTACATTACATGCTTTTTGGAAACTACAAGATAGGTGAGATTCAAGCATGACTAGGCTAGTGCGAGTTATTCACTTGAAAAAGATCACTGTGCAGTCTAGGAGTCTAAATAAATTTATGGGTTGTACCCATCCTTACTAAACTCCTAGTATTAAAGCCTAGGCCGTCGCCTTCCTTACAGATCAATCAAGCGCCCAATAAAGACAAGATTGAATTGTGCATCCCAACCGTTACTCAACGCCATTACGCGGTTGTCGTATTTCACTGAAATTAGAAACTGATCTAAGTCAGACAACCACTGAGAACCTAGAAGGCCTTTTCGTCGTGGCCTAGGATTCTCCAGCAGTACACACCCACAACCTCGCAACCGGAGCGACTAGCTTTGAAAAAAAATTCCGGAGTTTTGTGAGATGTGAAGCTAAACCGTGGCTAGTGTGAGGTTACCTACCGAAGATAATGGAAAACTGCGGCGCAATATGGTGAGCTGACTGAAGTTAAGGTTGTACATCATTGAATAGCGGACCAGTGGTCCAGAGTTTAAGCGTTGGAACGAGAGGTCCTGGGTCCGATTACAAGGTGTGGAGTGATGGACGCGTACTTCTGAGGAGTCTCATACTAGGATGAAGTGGCCTCTAAGTTCTCAGTGGTTGTCTTAGATTGGTTCGTGGTTTAAATAAAATTACTTGAAACATCTAACCATGAATTGCTGGTGTAAAAAACCTCAAGGACTAAACCAACAGTTTTCTGTATTCTCCAATGCTAAAAGTAAACACCCTTATGAATTTATACCACTCTTCAACCAATATCCAATTTTCAGATAGACGATAGTTAGGATCGTTACTATTAATTACTTGTTTTTAAAATTTCAACCTCATTGTTTCCTATTTAAAATTTATTGAACTTAAGAAATAAATTACGCCATAACACAAATATTACTGTATTCAAAGATAATTTATATTTTATTCATACTTACACACACAAAAGCATTAACACATTTGACAAAAATATGAAGAGGAGAAAATGAAGAATTATCCGAAATCGTTAATACCATCGTAATCGTCAATTTATGGTTAAAAAAATCACCAAACAGATAAACATACACAAATGTGAGTGAAAGTACCCACACGCATACATACACATAAAGATGAGGAACAGACAACAAATAAAGAAGTTTGAGGAAAACTACCGCGGAATCGCAACAAGTAGTGAACAAAAAAAGGCAAGAAGAGTAGAGTATTTGGTAAAAGAACAAGTAGATTGATGATAAATAACGTCAGCAAGAATAAACAATAATAACACGTAATAAACGCCGCATTCCAGACCATTTTACCTACCTGTATATTTTTTCGAGAATTAGAATTTTTCCCCTTTTGTGTTAACACAAGTAGATGAGTGAGTGGAGAGTGGTGGCAGTAAATATGATGGACTTGAAAAGTCTTATTTTGTATTTCTTTAATAAGAAAAATTGAGTGATGTTACACATAAATGTAGAAATAGGAATAAATTCCCTTATTGAAAAAATATAACAAAATGGCAATTAATCATTTATGAAATAATTAGTAGGAGAAGAGACAAACAGTATCTCAACACTGACAACTAGCTGGTGTCTACAATAGACACCAAGGTTAGCTCATGTGATTTGAGTTGGAGAGTGGGGGCGAGAACAGGAAGGAGATAAAAGAATCAAACATTATGATATAGATTGGATAACAATATGAGCCTAATATGTGAACCGGATGATATGATATTGTTTTTAGATGTCTAGCGTTGATGACGATGAACAGGAAAGAGAGGGAGAAATGCAATTTCATTTCCTTGAAGCATAGTCTCTTCAATATGTTTAATACATTTTGCTTTGGTATAACAATTGTATCGCTCGAAGTTCCCGCGCCCATCACAGAGTAGTAATAATCCAGTAAGGAATAATTCAAAAAACAAACACATGAAAAAGTGATTATGATAATATTATATAATTGCCCATCTTCCCAATGAATTGTAAAACATGGTATGTTGAAAAATCAGATAAGAAACCAGAAATAAACGAATTAGAAAGAAAGGAAACAGAAACACGGTGGGATTGTTCAATTGTTCAAAAGATCATTTCACTTTTTCTTATTAACTAGTGATGGAGAGAAAAGACAGCAAAGAAGGGGATTTTGTGTTTACACGTAACATATTGATACTGTGTAAACTAAGACTGGATATATACCAGAAAATAGTGCACACAGTGATAACACATAGTTTAGCACATATATATCTTCCCTATTTTGTCTCAATAGGTATATTCCGTTTACATGTATTTAAGGAAGGAAACAACACAGCAAGAGTGATGGTGGTGAGAGAATAGCAAACGTACGATGGATGTGTGTATAGGCGCGTAGTGAGGGAGAGGTCACATAAAAATGATAATAACACTAATGATAATAGTTGCCATGATGATAGATTTTTAATGGAACCTAAATATACAAATAATTTGTAAAAACAAGAAAACGATAAAAACTGAAAAATGTATAAGATAATTAACGTGATCTGATAGCCTATTAGTAATTATTCGACACCTAATAATAAAAAAGCGTAGATCTTATTTGTTTAGAAGAAATGTGACAGTTGATGGTAGGAACATTTAAACATGAACACACGTACACATCAACATAAAAAAGAGATTACTTTGACGATAAATGGAATAAATATAGAAGGAAAACTAAAAAAAGTAATGATCAAAAGAGAATTATTTCAGGTGAACGAATCACTTGGTTGAAGTAATAGTTAATGAGAAGATCGAGGGAATACACTGATAAGTATAAAGAGACCTTTATTTGAATACTACTGTGCTATGTGTAGCAACAAAAGCAATAGTAATGGTAGTAGGGATAGAGGCATATTTTCAGTTTACAAGTATAGAGATTGTATTTGTCATTTCCTTTATCAATTAAGTGACACTTTCTATTTTCATGCTGCCTATCCCCCTCAGTTTTTATCATCATCAGCTACATTATACAGCTTGATGGGTCAATTTACTATCATAAACGTTATCATCAGATGTGTTAGTCAATGAAATATCTTTTAATACTGATGGAGTGGAATGATGTTGTTTACCATCAATAATGATATTTCTATCATTTTGAATATTATTGACATTTGAATGGAAGCTAGGTGTACTTAAGACAAAAGGGATTTTTCTTTGAACTGAAAATGATTTCTGATTATCACCATTGCCATTATTATTATTATTATCATCGTTATGAACATGATTATCAGTCACCATGACTGACAGAATAAAATGTTGATTTGAAATGGTGTTAATTTCATTATTCAATGAATTGGAAATTTTACATTGATTATTTAATTTGTCATTATGCTCTTCATTTTTTATTGATCGTGTTGTTGTGATTGTTGTTGATGATGGTGGAGGGACATAGGTAGTGACTTGTACAGGAACGGGTACAAAACTTGTCGACGGTACTCCTGTGGCTAAAGCAGCAGCCTCAGCTAATGCAACCGCACTGGCCGATGAAGAAGCAGAGATTAAAAGTAAGGGGAAAGATGACGTGCCACTACTACTACTTACAAAGTTTGATGTAGTGATGGCGGGGGTAGTATAAGTTTGAGAACAATTAGATGAATGTGGTATGATTTTAGAATTATTATTGTTATTATAATTGGAAGAAGATTGTTGAACATTTGAAAATGATGATGATGATGTACTAATCTGATTAGCTGACGATGAATGAACAGATGTCGGGATTGTGATAGATGGAGAAAGCATCATAATAACATGTGCACCGTTGACATTCATTTGATTCGCTAACACAGACGATGATGATGGTGATAATGTGGTAGCACCATTAGGTAAATTTCCATGTGAATATTTCAACTGTTCCGTAGGTGATTTATTGATTGTAGATTCTGGCATAATTGATTTCATAGGACTGGAATTTACAGAAACACGTGTACACTCACTTTTGATGCTTGAATCAATCTATGAAAACATTAAAAATATATATACCTGATTATTCTTTCATATTTATAATTCCTATAAAATATAATTAAACTTGAAATATGGGATTCTGGTTTGTAGTGCAGGATGCGTAGAGAAAGAAAAGTCCCACTGAGTGACTGACTAATCCGTTACTGAATGTGTAGTTTCAAACGAGGATAATACCATATAAAATAAAAACATGTTAGCAGGATCAATGAAGAGAATAGGTTTATAAGAACTATTTTATTTTTAGCTTGTTTTAAATTAACCTAAGAGCAAATCATGTTTTTGTGAAGCACTAGACATATAACATATGTTACATAAAAAACCTAAGTAAAATTTTTTAAACATTGTTTAAGATGCAAGCTTGGATAGGTAGGTAGGTACAGCTACTCACTTACGCCTTTTATCTCTCGTAACTGAACAGGATTCTCCAACCAACTCTATTTCGGGCCCTTCTTCCCAGCTGTTCCCAATTGCTACTCATTCTTTTTATGTCTGCCTCCATTCCCCGGCGCAATGTGTTTTTTGGTCTGTTTCTTTTTCATGTCTTGCGGATTTCAAATTAGAGCTTGACTTGTGATGCAGTTTAATGATATCTACAATGCATGCCTTGTACACCTTCAGTGTCTTTTCCTAATTTCCTCTTCAGTTGGAAACCGATTTGTTCTCTGCCACAGGTTATTTGCTGATGGTATCTAGCCAACCGATATGGAGTATCTTGTGTAGACAACTTTTTGATGATAATTGTAGTTCTCCAGGTTTCAGTTCCACATAATAGGATTTTCTTGATGTCTGCATCGAAAATTCTGACTTTAGTATTGGTTGACGGTTGTTTCGAGTTCCGGATGCTCTTCAATTGCAAGAGTTCTGTCATTGCTTTGCCGATTTGTGCCTTTACATTTACATCAGATCCTTCCTGTTTATCAATGATGCTATCCAGTTACGTAGAAGTTACCACCTCTTCCAGAGCTTCTCTATCAAATGTGATTAGATTGGCGCTCGCTGTTTTATTTTCGGATCTTGCTTTTCCCCTTGTGTAGGTACCGTGATAAATCACTTTAATAAGCCTGAACTATGGTGACCCGCATTCTAAACATGAGGGTTAGTGATACTAGCAGGTTTCCTAAACCGTAACAGGCAGATAGGGATTTGAACCTGCTACTTAATAGCTTAAATTTGAACGCCTTAACTACTGAGTCATTGCTCCACTACAATGAATGAACTATTTGACTACAATTATGTTCAAAGAAATGAAGAATAGTTCAAAGGTGAAACGAAACATAACGTTTAATAATTTCACACAATTTCAATAAATTTGCGCCTAATGTTGCTCACTAGATAATAAGTAGTGCTTCAAAAATTTCTATGATAAAATAGTAGTAAGCTATTATTATTATTATTATTATTATTATTATTATTATTATTATTATTATTCTTTGTTCTATGAAACAACGGATAATATTTATAGCTGAAGTAGATGAACTTACAAAAGAGTTTTACATTTACTAAGAGAAAATAACTCAATGTATAAACCATTCCCATCACTTCTCAAGAAAATCATCAGTGATCGAACACAGAAAACAATAGGTACTTACATAAGTATTAAGATTATGACTAATAACATCAGTAGTTGTTGTTGGATTAGAGGTAGTAGTAACAGCATATTCAGGAAGCATTGTTGACTGACTAATAACAGATGATAATTGTTGATAATTATTAACAAGATTATTTCTGTTTTGAACTGATATGATATCATTACTATTGTCCGAATTGCTAGATTGTTTCTGACAAATTGTATTAAAATTATAAACAGTATCTTCTTTGAGTGTGTGAGATAATTGATGTGATACAGTATTGTTATGTTCATTATGCGGTATAGTTTGTATAAGACCATTGTGTTTGCGTTCTACCACCGGTGCGGATCCATTTAATTTATTAGTATTATTATTATTATATATATTGGATACATCCATTTCTACAGTTCTAGCAGTTTGTAGTTTTAAGAAACAATGATGTTGATGAACTTCATTTGTATAATCAAATATTTCATTACGATTATGAATTTTGTCAGAGGCATTAGAGAGTGTTAATTGATTACTACTATTGTCATTGTTATTCTGGGTATGAGAACGATGTTTATGGGTACTATGTGGTGAACGAAATAATAAATCCGCTGTTATCGGTTTCCTTGCATTGTAATGAATAGTGGAAGATGTCGTTGAATGATTGATTTTTGAAATATACGAGTCTTCATCACTATTATTATTATTATTATTAAAAACACCGGGACAATAGTTGCTACCCACCGTTGTAGTACAACAATCAACACTGGAAAGAGTGGCATATTTCCTCTTCTTGTTATCATTACTATTAAAAATATTATCTTTTGATAATTTTGAAAAATCCGAACCATTTGACACTGTTGTCAACTCAGAGGAATATTGTTTTGAACTGTTAATATGACTTTTAATATTATCCGGACCGGTTAGTGTACGAGTAAGAACAGAAAAATGATTTTGATAAGGTGTTTTTATTGACGATTTTTTCTCTTCAATTAAATGTTTAGAAAGTGTCAAATTATCTAAAAGTTTTGATGAATGAACTGGAAAAGAAACAATGAAGCAATGACGAGCATTAGCATAGTTTTTAATGAAAAAGGTTAGAAAAAATAAGCATATTTAAATTATACTGATCACAATATATATTACATAATAATAATAATAATAATTTTGTTTCTAACAGTAAGGTTATTCAGATATATGAGTAAGCGGGTAAGCAACTTCGGGTCTGAAACAAATTTACATCAGTTTAAAAAGTAGCCAAGTTTATATTAACACTATATATTTCATTCAATCTAGATATAAAACTTTGAAGGATTATCATCAATGTGATTGCTTTACATAGTTATTAGAGAAACTACATGCAATTTCCCTTTTGACAAGTGTACCATTTGAATACACTAGTGATAGTTATAGAATGATCATCACAATCGAGTATATCAGTGATTATGGTTATTAGTGAAGAAAAATTCGTTACTTAGTTATCATCATTACTATGATCGACTATTTGAACTATGTAATCGAATAGGAATTAAGTGAAAAAATTTTCGGAGACCTACTTTACGGTTAGATTAGAGGTTAAATCAATGATAGCGAGATTTTCGTTCTTTCTAGGCAGCATTATCAGTACTACATTCAAACTAAAGTGAGCTATTTGAATTTCTTCACATATGACTTAGAGCTTATTTTGTCAACATTAAATCAAAATAGAATTGTAAACAATAACAGAACAAGTGTTTACACCACCAACCAATCAAATTTCGTGTTAACAAAACGAGATATTAGTCATATTTAGAAGAATATGAATAGCTCACATCTATCTGAAGTTTGTGCTAGTATGTCTAGTAAGATAAAGAAAATTTCACGAATGAACCTTTCAGCTCAGAGAACATAACTCCACTAAAATTATTTCATCTTAACATCTGATCTGTTAGAAGTCGTCACAGAGCAAATATTCATTTATTTGAATTTGAACTTCTATGGTGTATAGATTCCTCTATTTTGGTATTACTATTATTTTAAATTATTTTGCCCCTAATATCCACATGTTACTGTACAATGTAACTGCATTTAAATGTTCAAGATTTGTTTATATGCATACGACTGGTAAAGCAAAGGAAATATGATGAATGCTAGAGTTATGGTGACATCGAAATTAATATTGCACAACAAAACTAAGTCTTCACATTTTTCAAAACACTTTTATGTCAGAAAGAAAAATACTGCTTATGGAGACCGGTATCACAAAGCTGATGAAGTGAATACCTTTTATTTATTTTATTTGACATTACAATGTACGTATATTATGTCCGAAGTGGTTTTATAGGATAAACTAGCCACCAACTTGTGAATCCTAGGTTGTGTTACAACAAAACTAATTCTGTTGGTTTTCAATATACTATCTATTATATAAGCTGAAAATACTTCACCTAAATCAGATCAAATTGTTACAGCGTTTATATTCATGACTTAGAATAACACTACTAATAATAATTCTATCAGTTGAAGTCCTCTGTCATCCAATGGAAACCAAAACGGCCGTTTCGGCCTAGCACGGGACTCCTCGGAAGTGCGCATCCACGATTCCGTAAGTAATTCGAACAAAGAGCCTTCGGCCTCTGTAACACCCCATCCTGATAATCATGCGCTCATTAGTGACTAGCATCAAAATGGATTTACAAGGGTTCTAGTGAGAAAGCGTGACCAGTGGAGTTCAATCCATGTAGGGTGCAAGACAGAAATCCACCTCAGACAATGAACGAAGGGTTGTGCAACATCATGGATTGAGTGGAGTTAGACATTAACACCGTCGAATGCCGGCTGAGTGGTTTAAATACTAGGTTTCGAGTCCCACGTGCGGAATTCTGCATGCACACTAATGTAAATTCCAATAGTAGGACAAAACGGCAGTCCATTATTTTCAGGTTTTCAATAGAGGTTTAGCTGAGATGGAATCATGAACTCAACTCTTAAAATTACTACGATCTCCATAGGTGACCTATACAAGGCGAGATATCCGTCTACCAATTAAGAGACGAGTATACTGTGCAGCAGTTCACTCTATTCTACTTTACGACTGCGAAGCGTGACCATTAAGGGTAGAAGACACTCTTAAGCTACTAGTATTTGATCACAGATGTCTTAGAAATATTTCTCGGATATGCTGGGACCACTGGGTAAGTAATAGTGAGGCTGGACTCAGGGTGTTACGGAATGATGGTAAATGAGCAGTTGAGGTTGTGAATCTTCATCGACTGAGATGGTTGGGCCACGTGTTACGCATGCCTAACCATCAACTGCGACGGCTTGCAATGCTGACTAGTGTTGGAGACGGATGGATGAAAGTTAGGAGCGACCAGACCAAAACGTGGCATCAGTCCATAAAGTCACTAACTTCTGGTCTGAGCCATGTTGGTAGATATAGACTACATGGTTGGGGTCCGCATGACTATCGTAACCAATGCTTGGAGACTCTGAGTGACATGGCTCAGAATCGATCACAATGGCGTAGGTGAATACACTCGTTGTCTTCCTCTGGACCGTAAGATTAAAACTACTTTATATCTTTCTTTCTACGAACTAATTCTTTATTCCTGTATTATATCCCTATACGCAATCTTTCTTTTATATATTACTACCATTGAAGTAACTACTTCTATGGATTTGGTATTCATTTTGTTGTGCTAATGAGGTATGGTGACTTGGACCGATGCATGTATATGTCTGGTCCTATGTTGCAGCTGACTGACTGTTTAGCGATTATTCTAATATCCAAGTGGTTAGTTTTGACTCATTGGTCTTGAGTACTGTTTGAGGTATGAGGGTGGTTAGCACTTCCCGGTTTTGCACACCGTGGAAAGGTTCTTCTAAGGATGCCTGGAAAAGAAATTGGGTTATAGTTGGTCTTAGTGACCTGAGAGCGTGACCACGGTGCCCAAGGGATAACTACTTCAGGCCAATCATTCAGGACCTAGCCGTAGAGAAATATTGATAGTTGAATCATTTAATCGCTTAAGGTCAAGTATCTCCAGTGTGTCTGAGAGATCGAGTTTTTTGGAGTTGGGAATTGCAGATAGACATTCTCCGGATTTAGAAGGTTGGCGAACCAATCGCAATTTGTTAGGAAAACTACTTACTATACTTAGCTTGATGACAGGTCCTAAAATTGGTTCAGTGTCAGAAGACTTCAGAAAGGACATCTCATGGGATTGATTTAGTAGTCTGTGAGTTTGGCTACGTGTGCATTTAAGTGACACCCCCACCTGAGTATAAGTTAACCAATCATAGTCTTGCCAGGTTAATCGATATGTAGAATAGTGTTACAGACAGGCGGTCGTATGTCCAATATGTCTAGAAATTATCCACTAGCAATAAATACAAGGTCATGGGAATTATTGAAAACACAGGCCAAGTGGCAGCCGGGCGATCAATATGAATGAATGCAATTAATCGACCTTAGCATATGCGTAGACAGCTGATTTTACCGGGTGGCTCATGCAATTGAGAGAATTCTGCATTTTCCTGAAGAAAACTTAGGTTATTTGTTATTACTTTAACGATATATACACTAATTTCAACTACGAATATAATCTTATAAATGATCCACTTAATCCAATTCACAATTGAACAACCTGTAAAATTCAGATTAGGGGTGGGATCTTTGCTGTGTTATTTGTTTTTTACCGCTGGACAATGAAAGTGGGGTTTGGAGGCGAACAGCATTTCTTCATGACGAGCAGATTTAGACTGTGATGGGACAAACAAGTGAGCTTTATCCTTCCACTGGGTAGAAATCTGTAAACACGAAAAGTTCGAACATCGCTTAGAAAACGAGAACCACCATGCTTCGGTTTGGGCACCCAGGCAGTATCACAGCCCACACACAAATACAATGAAATGACAATAATTAATGAAAATACTGTTCTCGCTCCGATTAAAATACAGAAAACTCACATCCATTTGATAACATGTACTATGTACTACGTCACTTATTCCTACTTTGTGTATCCTTATTTTTCAACTTATACAGAAGCTCGTCTATCTAAACTATCTCGAATCACCGAGTGGTCGGAAGTTGAATGCTACCACTGAATACGAACACTGAAACAGTCTTTCATAAACCATATATACCATTCAAACTAGCTTCCTCAAACGTTAACAGATCGGACAAAACATAAGGTTGCTTGTGTCCTTAAAGTTTTAATATTTACGTCTATTTTCTATACGAGACCCGTATTCAAGACTCTGGTGAAGTACTACAAATTCGCTCTCCATCTGTCACTTCGAAAAGCTTGTTTCACGTGTGTTTATCCGGGGACCCTGTGGCATCTTCGTCTGGTCTTGATGGCGTTGGTATCGCACTAAGCGCTAGAACTGAGGCAGCACTAATCGATTGGATCCCCATTAACAGTCGGTTATGTACTGTTAGATTAGAAAATTCCATCAAATTAAAAAGAAATTAGTGTGAGAAACGATGTCATTTCGTCATATCCGCCTATGCACCTACAGACTGCAGCCTGGATGCAATCAAGGATGAATTCTACCGCCAGTTAACTGTTCTTCTACAGAAAGTGCATTCGACAGATATTGTAGTACTAGCTGGAGACTTGAATGCTCAGATCGTGCGCCTAGGTGGCCGATGGGGACTCGTTGGTCGCAGGTCAGATAACGGGGACCGTCTACTGCAACTATGCACAAACCACAACCTGTTTCTGGCCAGCACTATCTTTCGGCACAGTCATCGCCGATGTGCCACCTGGCGTCCCCCTTCTGCATCTCAAGCCTGGACTCAGGTTGATCACATCGCGATCAACTACCGCTGGCGTGGTTGTATGCAAGACTGCCGCTCCGTTTGGAGTACCTATCTGGACTCTGACCATGCTTTGGTCTGCGCCAATCTTACCGTACTTTTCAGTGGACAACAAAGTGACAGCCATCAACGGATTGATACTAGCAAGCTGGTTGCAACTTCTGTTGCAAGTAAGTATCGAACCGAAATAGCTTCTAGGCTAGCTACCACTCCACCGAAAAGTATAGATGAGCATTGGTTGCAACTTCATGACGCCATCAAAATGGCGAGTAAAGCCGCTTGCGGCTTAACGAAACGTTCCGCTTATAAGCACTGGGTTTTTTCAGGCTCCTTACAACTCATTGAAGCCCGTCGGTCTACTCCGGGTCACCGTGAGTTTGACCACAAACGAAGGATGTTACGCAATGAAATCGGGCAAAGCTTGCTTGAGGACCGAGACGTCCGGTGGTCGGGGTGTGCTAATGAACTGGAAGCAGCAGTTGCATCTGGTAACTGCTGGAATCTCTTTTAACTCATCCGAGCCACTGGCAGCAAGAAGTCTGGTGTGCGCGAAACAATCTGTGAGGATGACGGAATGCCAATCACCAATATATGTCGACGTCTTGAACTATGGGCCAAATTCTTCGAAGGGCAGTTCAACTGGCCTGTTGCTTCGGCAACATCGGTCGGACTGTCCTGCTCTCCATGGCCGGTGACGACTGATCCACGAAATGAGGCGGAAGTCCTCAAGGAACTCCAACTCTTGAAGCGCTACAAATCACCCGGCCCAGATGACTTACCTCCGGCCCTTTTTAAAGATGGTGGTGACTTTCTGGCTAACGAACTGACGATGTTGTTTACAGGGGTCTGGGAACTAGAGAGTGTACCAAAGTCATGGAATGAGTCGGTAGTTGTCCCTATCTTTAAAAAGGGTTCACGTCGTTCCTGTAACAACTATCGAGGAATAAGTCTATTTCCGATTGCATCCAAGATGTTGGCTTCCGTTATACTTCGTAGGTTGTTCAAAACCCAAGAAAGATTGACTCACGAGGAGCAGGCTGGTTTTCTTTCCGGTCGAGGGTGTATTGATAATATCTTCACCCTCCGCCAAATGTTAGAACACCGCCATACTTATCAAAGGCCAACAATCGTAGTGTTTCTTGACATAAGGGCTGCCTTCGATACGTTGGACAGGACTGTTCTCTGGGATTTTCTATTGAAGAAGGGTGTGCCTGAGAAGTTTATTAACATCATAAAAGCCCTATATACAAATACCTCAGGTGAAGTGAGGGCATACAACCACCTTTCCCCATTGTTCCATTCGAGCAGTGGGGTTAGGCAGGGTTGCACAATTTCACTATTCCTCTTCAACTTTGCCATCGATGACATTCTGGAAACAGCTCTGATGGATGTAAGTAATGGTGGTGTGGATCTGCTGCCTGGAGAAAGACTCCTCGACCTTGAGTATGCGGACGATATTGTCTTGCTGTGCGATAATGCCCAAGCCATGCAATCCGCACTTAATCAGTTGGCAATCAGTGTCCGTAGGTATGGTATGTGCTTTGCACCTTCTAAGTGCAAAGTACTTCTACAAGACTGACAGGATTCTAATCCTGTACTCACCCTGGATGGTGAGCAGATAGAAGTAGTCGAGAAGTTCGTGTATCTGGGTAGCTGCATAAGTGCTGGTGGGGGTGTGAGTGATGAGATCAATGCACGCATAGTGAAAGCCAGGTCGGCTTATGCCAATCTGGGCCACCTTTGGCGCCTTCGTGATGTCAGTCTGGCTGTAAAAGGTCGGATCTACAACGCGTTGGTGAGAGCAGTTTTGCTCTATGCTTGTGAAACCTGGTCTCTCCGAGTTGAGGATGTTAGACGTCTCTCTGTGTTCGATAATCGTTGTCTCCGAAGAATTGCCGACATCCAGTGGCAACACCATGTTAACAATGCAGAGGTTCGGCATCGTGTGTTCGGGCACAGAGACGATAACTCAGTTGGTGTCACCATCTTTAAACATCGACTTCGGTGGATTGGATGTGTTCTACGAATGTCGTCCTAGAGAATTCCACATCGTGTATTATTTGCCGACTCTGGGACTGGTTGGAAGAAGCGGAGAGGTGGTCAGTGTTTGACATGGCGTAGTGGTATGAAAGAAAGCCGTGCAGGACTGGCTTGTGTTGGTCCTTCACGACTTACTGGTTGGGAACCTACAGATGATGAAACACAGTGGTTAGAGACGTTATCAGATATGGCTCAGAATAGAAGCTAGTGGCGATCCTGTTGTAACTTTATTTTACTTCGTAAAAAATGGAAGTAACTTCTTTAACCGGAAGAGTTCTTTCTGGTTGCACGTTTACTAACTGGATTGCTTCTCCCATTGTTATTATCTCACTATTATACACTAATTTCTGTCCGCCATTGTTCCGCTTTTTCTTATACGCACCTTACATCCTCATTGTTATTGTGTGCTGCATATGTATCTGTTGCCCCTTTGTACCAATATTTGTGTTCAAATAAATAAAGAGATCCAAGTAGAAAGCATTGAGTAATAAAATAGGTTCAGACAGCGCTGTTCTAAGGAATTTTATTATAGTATGATCATATATCTAATCGCTTCACATTGATTTAGAATAAAAACGTTGAGCAATACTAAATATAAATAAATAAATATTTAGAAACTTACTCATACGCTGTTCATTGTTTACAGGCACAGAACAAGTTCTCAATAGAGGAATGGTAGTCTTCGAAATGACAGACTGCTGAGTACTATCCGATACATATATACTACCACCAACCGATTTCCGCCTTTCTGGGGTACTCCCACTCGATGAACAGTATGTGAGATTATCATGACTTAGTGTCGTCATAAAACCAGTAGTACTAACAAGATCTGGCGAATTAATGTTGGGAGTTTTCCTAAATTTACATAAATGCTTATCAGATGACTGTAAATCAGGGAACCAATTATCTGATTGTTTCCAATCCAACTTGCGTTTCTTTACGGGTAAACTTGAACAACTGAAACGTGTTGGACGAACTGGTTGGGGAATTTCACTTTGATTCGGTATATCGCAACATTCTTTATCCGGAGTAGCACAACTACTGGATGAGACAGACGGAGGTGCACTCCAGGAAGTTTGATGAACAGTTGGAGTACTTTGAGGGCTTTCAGATGCTCGAAACTTAGAGTTACGTTGATCTAAATCATCATAATTTTCATATGGCCTAGAAAGAACTTCCAGTAGTCGTTGTGATGAAGTACTATTAGAAAATATTTCGGGTTGAATACTTTCGGTAACTGGTCTCTGTTGAAGAGATATGTTAGAAGTGGAGAGATCCTTATTCAAAAAATGATTCAAGTGCCTAACACTGTTAATGGAATGTATTTCAGAACCAGGAGAATAAGGTGTTAGTAGAGCTGATCTCAAACGACAATTAGAATACTGAGATTTATTGTTTCCAGGATCCACATTGCTATTAAATTCAGAACCAAGGGATGCGTTCAAAATGTGCATAGCATCAGTATTCGTACGAACGGGAGCTGTATTCCCCGAATAGCTGTCTTGACTTGAACTATCCATACAAACATCATCTGTAACGGAAAATGTAAAGGGACATTTTGTAAAAATTCTTGATAGAAATGATATGTTTTAATTAAATAATGAATATACACTGAGAGATGTTTAATTCTCAGAAATGATAAGTCTTTCATCAAATGGCTGATATTTTAAGAAAAATGTCTTTGTAGTACAAGTAAGTATACAGTGAAAGCTTATGTCCATTTAAACTTAATTGGTAACGGCTACTTTCGGAATATGATTGAAAAACAGAAAACAATTTTTTAGTGAATGATCGGATTGAAACCCAGTGGTGCGTACTTGATAAGTTATTGTGACTACTGATACTCTTTTTTTCTTATAGCCGATTATCGGAGACTGATAACATAGAGTTTGAAGTGATAAGAGCTAATTTTGACTCATAATACACTAAATAAACGAGTCTCAATAATGGGAAAATAATAATAAGCTTGTCGTCTGTAATTTACAGTTTGAGGGATGATTTGTTTTGGCAAGTGCTATCAACTTTCTTTGGTAGTTTTTAACAGGCTGATATTGCGGGTTTAGCGCATGATGGGCAATGAACCACTGATTCACGAAACTTACATTTATCATATATAAGTCTAAGCATCAAATATAACAAATAATCAAACGTATTTATTCAAATGGAATAATGAGGTCAAAATAATACATTGTGCTTTTAGTGAAAGGTGGATTAAAAATAGGTTCATAGTACATATTCTGGAAATGTACTTCATCATAACAAATGTTTAAAAAAAACAGTAGAACAATTTAAAGAAGCAGGCCGGTCTGGAATAAACTAGGCAGTTTACTTTCATAAATAGTATTTAGTATGTAAGGAAATACAAAGTCATTTGTATAGTGCAAACAGAACTATTTACAGTTAAAGAGTACGCAATTAAAAGTACGAATACAGTAATAAGGTAACTACTGAAAAAGTTACTAGTTAGTGAAAAAATCCCGAAGAAAAGTTTTTTATAGACTCTACTGTCAAATTACGTGATTATAAAGACGGAAGGGAAAATTAAACAGGCTTGAGGTTAATCTTCGGTCTCCCCTCCAACTCTTGAAGGGATTGAGAATATAAGTGACTTGAACTATGGGAGAACAGCAGGCTATGATAATTTAGTTCCAGGTGTTTCTTTATGATGGTTAGAGAGATACGGTAACCATATCTAGCCGGCCTCGACTCGTAATCATTACAATTTGCAAGAAAATACGAATCTTTCAGCGATAACCATAGGGAAATCAATTTGATTTATATCATCTCCGAGATCTTAACATTCAAAACTGATCAGTTGCCAATGGGAACTCGAGGACAACAAATATAGGAAAGCCAGGTATGTTTTAGGCTTAGCATTTAATCCGCAGGCTCTGAAATAAGGGCACGCTTACTGAGGTAAAATTGAGGTTGTATTTTATGAATCAAAAGGAGCACTTGATTCCAATGATCGACAAGTCTTTTGGCAGTCTGCTTCGTGAAACCGGACAAAAGAAAGGTCATCGCTCAGACATCCTCAATAAGGTTACGCATTTTTGAAAAACAGTGATGTTGTGTAACACTTTCTGTATTCATCACTTTGTATAAAGTGACGCAAAAACGACTGTTTGTGGCAGTACTCTAACTCCAATGGCATTCATAAATCATAGGTGATATGGCAGGAAAAACTTCAAAAGGATGCTAATATCAACTATAGTACATTTGTGAAACGTGATTCCTGAATGTATGGGGTGTGTGTAAAATTCATATGTTCTCACAGTTGATTTTTATGGCGACTACATATGAAACTTATTTAAAATAGAAAGCACTGGTTTATGGTGTAACGCAGAGTCATCGATCAAGTTCTCTTGAAAGTGTTATGCATAAACACCACCTTTCTTGATGTACTATACCGGCAAGGATAATATGTAGGGAAATATTATTGTTAACCGGAGCAAAGGCATGACATCAATTGACGAAGTTTTTATCTGTTGACTTGAGTCATGTAAGAAAATCCATGCTATCTAACTGTATTTTCGGCATAATCGTTATCAATGGTTGAATACTATGGGGTATGTGCTTCAACAGCGGTTGTCGTTGCACGAACGCAATCGATCTCCATCTTTTTCGGTGCCTCCCACCATTTCCCAGTTCGATTTGTTACGTTTGACTGTATTTTACCACCATTATCAATGTGATTACTTTTATTTCTTTGGTTATCCATCTAATTAGTTTCATTTCGCTATCCTGACTTGGGATGTGGAGATTTACATTCATGAATTTGTATGCCATGTACTAGCCCATTTGTAAGTCCATTTGGAGAGTTTAACGAACTTAGGGGTACAACCTTATAATTTCGAATCAATAAGATAAAATCTATGGATATGGGAGGACGAAGAAATTTGAAGAAACATGGAAAGATAGAAGTTGATTATGAAAAAGGTTCATTGGTGAGTAACATGTAACAGTAGAAGTGCACAGCGTGATCATCACTTTCTCACCATATTTTTCGAATTAACTTAAAAAGCAATTTGATAACCAGTGTCGCTTTATTCAATAATGGAGTAAAAACTAGTGAATATCCACTTAAGGTCTTTTATTTGGATGTCTTTAGAAGTGCTACCATTTGTACAGTGCTCTTCAATTCTTAGAGGAAGTCAGTGTCGAGTACAGGAACGCTTGGGGTAAGACGTTTTCCTAACTGACATTTGTTGCCTCTCCTCAAAATGATGCCCCCAAATACCCTGGTATGGCCGTGTGGTGGGCCCGCCCTCCCTCTCGAAATGCTCTCACACGGCCACGCGTATACAGCCTTTGCAAGGGAAGTCTTACTCATTGCCTTCTCGTGGCGGGGGTGCTGTTTACGAAAATGAAAGGACGAAAAGCGAATGTTCGGAGCTTAAACCGGATCCCAAATCAATGGTGCACATGGGCTCCAGTATCCTGCGGAAACAAATGGCGTATGAACCAATCGTTGGTCACCGGCTACCATGGGACTGCATCTCCACACGATGCTGAACTGCCTTGTGGGTCAGACCTTTAGGTCAAAGGCTCGGGGTGTGGCCCCCTAAGATAACCACCTGCTTCGGTCTGGGCACCCGGGCAGTATCACAGCCCACACACAAATATGATGAAATGTCAATATTTGTGGAAAATACTTGTCTTCCTCCGATTAACAATCAAACGATTCACATTATTATTCTTTTACGTCATTTATTCACTTTTATTCCCACTTTATGAATCCTTATTTTTCCACTTATGCAACAGCTCGCCTATGGTGGAAACTCGGTTCTATCTAAACGCACTCGAGTCACTGCCTGGTTGAAAATTGTATGCTACCACCAAATACGAATATTGAAGCAGTTTTTCCGAAACCATGTGCACTATTTAAACTGGCTGCCTTCAACGTTCGCACAATTATGCAGATCAGACAACAGATAGGTCTGAATACGTCTTAGACGTAAATATAAAGACCTTTCAATTTTCTATCCGAGACCCGGCTTTGCGAAACGTTCCGCTTATAAGCACTGGGTTTTTTCAGGCTCCTTACAACTCATTGAAGCCCGTCGGTCTACTCCGGGTCACCGTGGGTTTGACCACAAACGAAGGATGTTACGCAATGAAATCGGGCAAAGCTTGCTTGAGGACCGAGACGTCCGGTGGTCGGGGTGTGCTAATGAACTGGAAGCAGCAGTTGCATCTGGTAACTGCTGGAATCTCTTTTAACTCATCCGAGCCACTGGCAGCAAGAAGTCTGGTGTGCGCGAAACAATCTGTGAGGATGACGGAATGCCAATCACCAATATATGTCGACGTCTTGAACTATGGGCCAAATTCTTCGAAGGGCAGTTCAACTGGCCTGTTGCTCCGGCAACATCGGTCGGACTGTCCTGCTCTCCATGGCCGGTGACGACTGATCCACGAAATGAGGCGGAAGTCCTCAAGGAACTCCAACTCTTGAAGCGCTACAAATCACCCGGCCCAGATGACTTACCTCCGGCCCTTTTTAAAGATGGTGGTGACTTTCTGGCTAACGAACTGACGATGTTGTTTACAGGGGTCTGGGAACTAGAGAGTGTACCAAAGTCATGGAATGAGTCGGTAGTTGTCCCTATCTTTAAAAAGGGTTCACGTCGTTCCTGTAACAACTATCGAGGAATAAGTCTATTTCCGATTGCATCCAAGATGTTGGCTTCCGTTATACTTCGTAGGTTGTTCAAAACCCAAGAAAGATTGACTCACGAGGAGCAGGCTGGTTTTCTTTCCGGTCGAGGGTGTATTGATAATATCTTCACCCTCCGCCAAATGTTAGAACACCGCCATACTTATCAAAGGCCAACAATCGTAGTGTTTCTTGACATAAGGGCTGCCTTCGATACGTTGGACAGGACTGTTCTCTGGGATTTTCTATTGAAGAAGGGTGTGCCTGAGAAGTTTATTAACATCATAAAAGCCCTATATACAAATACCTCAGGTGAAGTGAGGGCATACAACCACCTTTCCCCATTGTTCCATTCGAGCAGTGGGGTTAGGCAGGGTTGCACAATTTCACTATTCCTCTTCAACTTTGCCATCGATGACATTCTGGAAACAGCTCTGATGGATGTAAGTAATGGTGGTGTGGATCTGCTGCCTGGAGAAAGACTCCTCGACCTTGAGTATGCGGACGATATTGTCTTGCTGTGCGATAATGCCCAAGCCATGCAATCCGCACTTAATCAGTTGGCAATCAGTGTCCGTAGGTATGGTATGTGCTTTGCACCTTCTAAGTGCAAAGTACTTCTACAAGACTGGCAGGATTCTAATCCTGTACTCACCCTGGATGGTGAGCAGATAGAAGTAGTCGAGAAGTTCGTGTATCTGGGTAGCTGCATAAGTGCTGGTGGGGGTGTGAGTGATGAGATCAATGCACGCATAGTGAAAGCCAGGTCGGCTTATGCCAATCTGGGCCACCTTTGGCGCCTTCGTGATGTCAGTCTGGCTGTAAAAGGTCGGATCTACAACGCGTTGGTGAGAGCAGTTTTGCTCTATGCTTGTGAAACCTGGTCTCTCCGAGTTGAGGATGTTAGACGTCTCTCTGTGTTCGATAATCGTTGTCTCCGAAGAATTGCCGACATCCAGTGGCAACACCATGTTAACAATGCAGAGGTTCGGCATCGTGTGTTCGGGCACAGAGACGATAACTCAGTTGGTGTCACCATCTTTAAACATCGACTTCGGTGGATTGGATGTGTTCTACGAATGTCGTCCTAGAGAATTCCACATCGTGTATTATTTGCCGACTCTGGGACTGGTTGGAAGAAGCGGAGAGGTGGTCAGTGTTTGACATGGCGTAGTGGTATGAAAGAAAGCCGTGCAGGACTGGCTTGTGTTGGTCCTTCACGACTTACTGGTTGGGAACCTACAGATGATGAAACACAGTGGTTAGAGACGTTATCAGATATGGCTCAGAATAGAAGCTAGTGGTGATCCTGCTGTGACCTTCTTTTACTTTCTTCATAAAGAAAGGTATCTTCCTTAACTGGAAGATTTCTTGTGATTGTACCTTTCCGTTTCCCCCACTATTATTATTACACTACCTTACAGTAATCTGTTCGTTATTGTTCGTTTTTTTCTCTTCGAATATTCATTGTTTTGTGTGGCGCATATATATTTGGTGCCCCCTGTACCAATATTTATTTGTTCAAATAAATAAATAAAAAGAAATTCTCAAAATGATAAAACATGATCATTGGCACTACTGGTTGTTTGTGGGAAACTTTATTTTATCAATTCAACTAGCAGAATAACTTTGATTTTAAGTCGTATCACAACATACTAGCGTCAGTTGGGGTGGAGGATAAAACGATTTCAAGTGGTCGGACTGCAGAGTTGGTAATTGAGAAACATGTTCCTTTAATAATATCGTAATAGACATTTTTCGGTCATATGCAGTGCACTGAGGAAACGAATTTAAGTCATATTTCAAAATGTGCAGTAGTGAAAACAGTCAACATGAAAACTTACCACTTGTGTTGGACAATCCATCCGGTTCATCTGTTGTTCCAATTCCTCCAACTGAAAATGGTTCTGATAATTGAGTGGCACCTGTAGCAGCTGTGAGGACACGACAGTGACTTTGCGGCAACTTCGAAGAAGCAGAATTCGATCTTAAATGAGATGCAGTACATTGCTTCCAAGTATCAGGATGATATGTAAACACCGGATCACCATCTGAATAGCTCAGAGGAGTTGGTTTGGTAGGCTAAAAAGAATATTTTCAACTGGTAAATTTTATGTACAGTATAAAGAAACTACGTTGGTGTCATTTTAAAGTGCCTGCGAAACTGGTAGAGTGGAACATTTTAGGGACTGGGAGGAAAGCTTGTTGACTCAATTTTCATGGAATCCAACACAGAAACAGAGATGGAATAAGATATAAATTTTACGGAAAACTAAACGAGAACACGGTATTAGGCATGAAAATCTACTCTTTTAAAACTCTAATGTTAAACTCGATACAATTAAGTGACCAAGGAGAGGGAAAATACGAGTAAAAACAAAGACACTAACGAAGGTAAACAGGGGTGGAAGTAAAAACAAATGAAAATAAGGACTGCAAATTGTGGAAGCAAACCCTGGTTAAGAGTTAAAGAAAGACAATGTAATGTATTTACGCCAAAACCGATAAAACAAGAAGTTAACTTAGAACACTAACTAGTAAACCCCTGGTAACTCCCAACATTATGCTCTTCAAATAACAATAGTCTACAGTCGCATTGATACTTTTACTAATATTGATGAATTGCAGATATAAAGATTGTACGACTTCAGTCAGTCAGCTACAACGTAGGACCAGGCACGACTTGTTCATAATTTACACCATATCAGTACCAGCTAAACAAATTGTGGGGATAAAAATACGGAAAATATGAAGGTAACAGTCAGATATGATAGGTCAAACTGAAAAATGTGTGATATAGATAAAGTAATGTCCGAGAAATAGAACAAGATGGAGAACGATTGCGTTTGTGCAACAGCAAATGTTGCTCAAACCATTTTCGCAGCTATCCGTCTCCATTGGTAATGTCTTAACAAGCACATAGCTAACACAAAAACTAGCACCAAAAAGGTCATGTGTGACCGACCTCAAGTAGTTATCCCTTGGGCACCGTGGTCACGCTCTCAGGTCACTAAGACCAACTATAACCCAATTTCTTTTCCAGGCATCCTTAGAAGAACCTTTCCACGGTGTGTAAAACCGGGAAGTGCTAACCACCCTCATACCTCAAACAGTACTCAAGACCAATGAGTCAAAACTAACCACTTGGATATTAGAATAATCGCTAAACAGTCAGTCAGCTGCAACATAGGACCAGACATATACATGCATCGGTCCAAGTCACCATACCTCATTAGCACAACAAAATGAATACCAAATCCATAGAAGTAGTTACTTCAATGGTAGTAATATATAAAAGAAAGATTGCGTATAGGGATATAATACAGGAATAAAGAATTAGTTCGTAGAAAGAAAGATATAAAGTAGTTTTAATCTTACGGTCCAGAGGAAGACAACGAGTGTATTCACCTACGCCATTGTGATCGATTCTGAGCCATGTCACTCAGAGTCTCCAAGCATTGGTTACGATAGTCATGCGGACCCCAACCATGTAGTCTATATCTACCAACATGGCTCAGACCAGAAGTTAGTGACTTTATGGACTGATGCCACGTTTTGGTCTGGTCGCTCCTAACTTTCATCCATCCGTCTCCAACACTAGTCAGCATTGCAAGCCGTCGCAGTTGATGGTTGGGCATGCGTAACACGTGGCCCAACCATCTCAGTCGATGAAGATTCACAACCTCAACTGCTCATTTACCATCATTCCGTAACACCCTGAGTCCAGCCTCACTATTACTTACCCAGTGGTCCCAGCATATCCGAGAAATATTTCTAAGAGATCTGTGATCAAATACTAGTAGCTTAAGAGTGTCTTCTACCCTTAATGGCCACGCTTCGCAGTCGTAAAGTAGAATAGAGTGAACTGCTGCACAGTATACTCGTCTCTTAATTGGTAGACAGATATCTCGTGATCACCATAGGTGACGTAAATTGGCAAAAGACAAAAAAGATTTTTGGATCCGTACACAGATTTCGTCAGACAAAAACTCATTAGGGTAGTTCAGACTTCCAAGGTAAGTGGAATTGTCAACACGTCCGATTACTTCACTCCCTATCCTCAATTCAGGTGTTGACAATAATCAATCAATAACATAGAGCAGGTCGAAAATAAAAAAATATCAATAGTGACCGTTTTATATTTAATTTCAAGTTAGAAGCAGTATGCACTCATGTAGTATCATCAGTCCTTACAATAACAGCTTGGACTCAGGGTGTTACGGAATGATGGTAAATGAGCAGTTGAGGTTGTGAATCTTCATCGACTGAGATGGTTGGGCCACGTGTTACGCATGCCCAACCATCAACTGCGACGGCTTGCAATGCTGACTAGTGTTGGAGACGGATGGATGAAAGTTAGGAGCGACCAGACCAAAACGTGGCATCAGTCCATAAAGTCACTAACTTCTGGTCTGAGCCATGTTGGTAGATATAGACTACATGGTTGGGGTCCGCATGACTATCGTAACCAATGCTTGGAGACTCTGAGTGACATGGCTCAGAATCGATCACAATGGCGTAGGTGAATACACTCGTTGTCTTCCTCTGGACCGTAAGATTAAAACTACTTTATATCTTTCTTTCTACGAACTAATTCTTTATTCCTGTATTATATCCCTATACGCAATCTTTCTTTTATATATTACTACCATTGAAGTAACTACTTCTATGGATTTGGTATTCATTTTGTTGTGCTAATGAGGTATGGTGACTTGGACCGATGCATGTATATGTCTGGTCCTATGTTGCAGCTGACTGACTGTTTAGCGATTATTCTAATATCCAAGTGGTTAGTTTTGACTCATTGGTCTTGAGTACTGTTTGAGGTATGAGGGTGGTTAGCACTTCCCGGTTTTACACACCGTGGAAAGGTTCTTCTAAGGATGCCTGGAAAAGAAATTGGGTTATAGTTGGTCTTAGTGACCTGAGAGCGTGACCACGGTGCCCAAGGGATAACTACTTGAGGTCGGTCACACATGACCTTTTTGGTGCTAGTTTTTGTGTTAGCTATGTGCTTGTTAAGACATTACCAATGGAGACGGATAGCCGTGGGATAAAGTGAGATGTGTACTTTTAGGGTCGATTTTTTTAACCCGACTTATCGCCTGCTGGAAGACAGCAGCACTGTTATGCTTGTTGTCTTAGAGAAACACTTTATTGCCTTCACACCGCTGTAGTCTACAGTACGACTTTGCTCTCGGACCTTAGGTTTGCTGCTTTAGTCTTACCGTTCTTCTATCAACCTATTCGACACAGTACGACCTTGAGGAACGATTGTTCCAACCTGTATAGCCTGATTGGTTCATCACGATAGACAATCCCAACCACTACGTCAAGGTAGCAGCAACGGTTAGGGTTTTGATTGAAGTAGATATCCTTTTAATCTAGAATCGACAAAGAGTTTAAAGGATACAGTAAATGCTAGAGGATTACCATTGTATGTTGTGTATTTGGATCATGCATTAGTTAGTGACATGTGTTTATTCTAATACCTTAACGCATGAGGTCATTTCTAAAATCAGAATCCGCCTGTTATATAAACTGCATTCTATAGTCGCACAAACATAAACAAATTCATCGTAACTGTATTATGAATATTATTGTTAATCATAATTAAACGGTTTACCGAATCTCTGAATCGCCTAAATCTTTAATGTTACATGAGAGCAATATATCAGTAGATTATATATTAAGGTTAGGATTCAGACTATATATATTTATTAAAGGTAATACAATTGGTACATTTTGAAGCATATAACCCTGCAAGGTACAGTGATTTAAAGGATTTGGTCCGTTTATGTCTATTTCAGGATAATAGGATGAACACCTCAGTAACCTTAACAAAAAGTCTATGGATCTTAAAAATCTTAGCTATCGAAACCAGATAAAGAAAACTGATTATTTCGATCAAAATGCAAACTTGTTCGATCAACGCCAGTGTATAGTATGCTAAGAAATACTAAACAATACTAAACAATTGAAAAACTTAGGACAACAATTTATTGGCCAAACTGATGAAATTCAGAAGTAAAACAAAAAAGTAATTCGTGAGTGGAAAAAAAGATGATAACGGGGACCTTGAAATGAATAATAGGTTTTTGCCGACCTCAAGAGATTTTGTGCATTTAGGCTCCCATGGTCGACCAAGAATCATATAAATTACCAGCTACTTTTGTTACGTGGTTTATGGTCTCAAGTAAACACCATATTTTCTATTTTAAAACCAAGCTACATCATGCACGTCACACAACGTAGTTTATTACTTAGATATATCTTCATACAGCTTTATTTCATCGATCCACTAGAACTCTTTAAAGCTCGTTAACAATTGTTTGATATACTCTATATTTAATCAAGGATGAGTTAAGATGTCTACATTAAATTAACAAGTAGTGGTAATAAACAAATTATCGCAAACAAATTTGTTACTGGTGTGCCGACATAGAAAATATATGGACTTTTTTATACCCTCTAAGTCGGTAAAAGCTACAATTTATGATGGCCTAATAGATTAACTTGCGTTAATAAACTCCAATGAATCTAATTAGCACTGTTCCAAGAAGTTAGAAAGTCAACATAATAGATGTCTAGATATGGTTAGTCCAGGTTAACATACGACACCGAGATGAATAGCAGATTTAGTGAAATATAAGTGATATAAATGGAAATACAAACAACAAAATGTCAGAGAATATGATTTGAGGAGATGAATTCAAGTAAAAATTACGAAATAATATTGAGGCTAAATACTTAAGAAAAGATAAAGAGAATTTATATGCAACATTGACTTATTGTGAACTATGAGAACCAAGACCCTCAAGAATGACCGCACCAGTATCACGAATCAACAGATTGTGGTAGATGTAGCAAGATCCATGTTATATGCCAAATATGTACCCCAAGTTTCAAAAAGCATTCGACCGTATTAACCACTCATTTTTTATCTATAACCCTAGCACCTAAACCAACCTGGAGGCATCAGCAGCAAAATCTCCTACTTGAACCATAACCATTTGGAACGCATGAGAAGTTCCGGTTTGTATACTGAAGTGTGCGTTTTAACAGTTAAGGAACCACGTGTCCATAAAACTTTCTTGTATTGTAGATTAACATTCATACGAAATGAAGTGCTGAAATCTGAATCGTAAGGAATATGCAACCTAAAAATTCCACATTTTATATGTGCTACATATATCGATACCTTATGTTGTGTTAGTTTGATTGTAAGACGTGAAACATAAAACCATACATGGTTCAGAGACTTATGGCAGTGTACAAACGTAATCAAAATAAAGTATCAATCAAAATAATTCTGGCCCATTATTATATTGTTATAGATCAGAAGAGCCTCTAATGTGGGAAAATCACAACTTGGAGTCTCGATAAAGACATGTACTACTTTTATATCAAAAAACATATATCGTGTATCTAAATTGAAAAATGTGACGTTTGAATTTATTCCGGAGGTTGATAAGTTGAGTTACAGACGGGAATGTAACGAACAATGTTTAGGTATATAAATATTTAGGCATCTGATAGACCTCAGACGGTACACACACTTACAACTAATTTGCGGGCCGATCCGAATACTGTCTGTAAGTCACTGATTTTCTGACATCCTGACATTTGTATGAGATTCGCTAGCTCTACATGCATAGTTGGAGAACTAACGAAGATAAATGAATAACCTTCGACCTACATTTTAGGATCCAGAGAGGCATTACCATCACCTTCGTCACCGGTACTTAACCACTCCAGAAACTGAGTCACGTTGATATTCCGAAGTGTGTCAGCCGTGCCATAACCACCTGAAAAAACCAATACTTGAAAACCCCGATAAATACCTTTTGAATACAACTTTTTCTCTAGAATCTCTGCAGCCCTCAGAAGTGCGTCAATATCGCCTACATCCCCTCGGTCCACAGAAGCCATGTCCTAATTCGCAGTTAGCCCGCGAACGGACGAACTAAAATACCAGGGCCATGTAAAACCAATAACCCACACACCGACCAATAGCGTTTAGTTTGACGCTAACGTGACCAAAGGTCGGTACCGTGACGACGACCTAGATTTGTGACCAGGTCGCTCATCCTTGAAATTTGGGTGGTTCAAACAGCTGAACAAATTTTAATTTAAAATATTTATACTATATTTCATATCATGAGTTCAGACATTTTTGAGAAAAACATGAGCAGTTATAAAACTTTCGACAGTATCACATAAATAATTTGGGTATAGTTTAGATGTATTGTTAAACCGTTTAATCCTTTCATGGAACTCTATTGTGGATATCAGAATATCTAAAAATAAAACACATCGGAAAACCCTTAAATTACTTGATCAAAAGTATAGAGACTTCTGTTCATTCTTCAGGACAGGTCTGATCGAATTTCTGATGTTCTGTTGGGGAGCTGAAATGTCACTGATTATAAGACTTATCATTCATCTGGAGAGTCTCTAAATCCCGATCAGTATTCTGAGCCTTACCAAGGAAAAGCCCGAGCAACGTGGATAATTTGGCAGAATTTATTGGTCTTACCTACGCTGCATTGGTCACATTCTGTTTAAAATACCTGTTCTTACTAATACATATCTGTAATAACTTCATGCTAGTTCTTCACGGTCACCAGGGTAGTTATGGTATCTGGTTATTACGAAAGGGTGATCCACGTTGGTAATAAATGCGATGTTTGTCTCCGTCGTAAGCTGGGTCACATAATCCTCGTTCAAATGGAATTACCTTGCAAACACCGAAACAAATTACCTACATTTGTGACATATACTAGTGGGCAAGCTTTTAAATCACACAACCTACTATGATTTCAATGTAAATGATATCATACTACACGTAATTTTTGCATCTGTCGAAAATTCACAAGTTTTCCGAGTGGTGGTGATTTCAAAAAATGTCTAATTCAGTGTTGATTAGAATTTGACTAATTGAATCAACCGGTGTAAATAAATAAACCACTATGGTTGTAGTCGGCTATCATCGTTCTTCAGTATGCATAAGAAGCATATGAATGCTCTTATGTAAATGTGCGTATCAATATCAACCAATCTTAAGTACAGTGTAGCGGTAAATAAATCCCCAAAATAAATAGCTCCGTAGGTTTTCGACATTGAATGCTGACCACATTAGTTTTAATGAACTCACCTAGCTGAAGACGCTCGGCCATGCATCCACATCAGATCACGAGTGAGAACGCCATGCTCAACATACCCTACAATCGCTAGCCAGCCTAGATCAGTCGATTCTCGATAAATTGATAGCCTATAAAATAAATCTTCGAATCTCCTCGCTTCTGTCCTTTGATTTTACTTGGTCGGTACGCTTCATATTAGGTGTTACTGGTTAAAGAATTGTCAAACTCCAAATATCTTTTACATCTTCATACATCTCTTGAAAGAGTCAATTGAAGGTGCGGACACCACTGCTCCATGTAACAGGTTCTAAGTATTGATGACTCGGTGTAAACACCCGTATGTCACGGGTGTTTTGTCCGTTCTTGCCTTTTCTACTCTCCTGCTGAATCCTCTGAGATGTTCCGATCTAGTGGGAAGAAAAAGAGGGTATAAGTTAGGCTCAAAATCACTTCTCAGTATTTTGTACATCAATATTAGATTTCCCTTTAGTCTGCGATAGGACAGAGTAAAGAGGTTCAGTTTTTCAAGCGGCTCTTTATATGATGAACCCCGGAGTTCCGCAATAGCACGCGTAGCTGCCCTCTGTACTTCTTCTAGTATGTCTGAGTCACCTTTTAAACAGGGGCTTGCAGCCTGAGCACAGTTCTCTAACTTAGTTCTCACTAAGGATGTGTATAATGTGGTGAACATGGTAGTATCAAACTTAGTGAATGTCCTTTTTAAAGCCCAGAGAGTTCGAAACCCCTTAACTGCGACCTCCTGGCAATGGGCCGTCGTCTTAAGATCATTGCTCACTGTCACCCCTAGGTCCTTATGAGACCGGACTACGAGTAATGACAAATCCCCTATGTTGTACCTATTAACCTTTGAATCCCCAAATTGCATGTAGACACATTTTTCCGAGTTGATAGGCATCAGCCACTCTTTAGACCAGTTAATCATATTACTTATGTCTGCCTGACCAGCACATGCATCTGTATCTCCAGTTATTACTCTCCAGACTTTTACATCGTCAGCGTAAATTAGCACTGGGGACTGTACTATACTTGGAAGATCATTTACATACTGTATCAAAAGTAAAGGATCTAGGAACCTTGAGGAACACTAATTAGTACTAGTCTCCAGGTGGAGCGCTTGGAATTTATTCTTACTTTTTGCCTACGACCTACTAGGAAATCCTCAATTCATTTTAAATGAGGTCCGGCAATACCAAGGTTTGCCAACTTCAATAGCAGTCTATTAGTTGGCACCTTGTCAAAAGCCTTACTGAAGTCTATGTAGACAACATCCATTGAGTTTCCGTTGTCTAGCGCCCTTATCCAAAATTCCCTTGCTATAAGGAGGTTTGTTGTACAGGATAAACTCTTTCTAAAACCTTTTTTTCTCTGTTTGACAAGTTACTGGTTTCCATAAATGCTATTATTATCCGTTTGACTATTCTTTCCAATATTTTAACTACAACACTGGTGATACTTACAGTTCTGTGGTTCGATGGTAGTTGTCTTGGTCCTGTTTCATGTACGGGAGTGACGATTGCGTCCTTCCAGTCCATAGGTAACACACCTTGCTTACGTGACATGTTGAATATCACGGTGAGTGGAGCCGCGATATATTGTGCAATATGTCTCAAGATTTTGGGGTGTAGTTAGTAACAGCTTAGGTTGGTTGTCAAAACAGTATAGTTCAAGTATTCGTTCATCTCCTTATTTTGTATAGGCGTTATATTTCCTATTATCTTATATTGAATTTTGAGAGGCTTTGTTTGTCTGAACAAATAACCCCACGCTCCATCGTGACTGCGCAAAGATCTAAATAAAGACCTATTCACTATTTGTTTGGCTTCTTCTATCAATAGCGCGAGGGTTACATAGAGGAACGAAAAGTTCATCTGGTTCTGTTGACTTTTCCATGTCCAAGATGCTAAGAGGCTTACGTACATAGTCTTGATCGAAGTCAACGGTGAGCAAGTGGTTTGTTGACTCTGTATTTTGGCCTGGTTCTTTGTCTAGAGGAGGTTTCTGAGTGAAAATTGCCCCAAAATAGTCAGCCTTAGCCCCTCCTTTTTCCTGATCTTCCTCTATCATTTCAGATCCACTCCCTTCTTTAATTAGGTTGGGAATCCAATGATGCATCCCTGTTCTGTAGTTTATGTACGAAAACAATCTCTTCGGCTGCTTGAGTGCAGATTGTGTCAGCTGCATTTCATATTTTCTTTGAGCTTCCCGAATTTTTGTTATACACTTGTTTCTTACAGATCTGTAGCGTTCCATCGTACTTTCTGTGCCAAGGTGGATGGCAACACCCCAAAACTTCTTTTGTCTTAGTAAACTTCGAATATCCCGGCCTATCCAGGGATGACCGTGCTTCTTCTTCTTTGAAACAGTCCAGGGTATGTATGGTTGAGTTACCTGATTGTATAACTGCCTGAATAGAGTTCATGCCTCTTGTACTGATGCCTTTGAGTCAATTTCCCAGTTTTCAGCCGATGCTGAGGAGTTAATTGCCTGCATATCTGCCTTCCATATGTTGGGACGGCCGGTGCAACTGTTTGACAGGCAATTTCAGCCATGAATTTAAATACGATGACTGCATGATCACTTCTCCTAGTGGTAGGAGAAAGATCATTTGACCAACATCATCACCGTGTGTGAATATTAAATCTAATAGCGAAGAAGAGTTTCTTAAGTCATATCTTGTAGGGTTTCTAATGTGTTGGGATAAAGTTAATCCAATCGTTGTTTCCAACAGTTTGCAGTCGAACGACGTTACCGATAACCCTACTTATAAGTTAATCCAGTTTATGTACGGTGCATCAAAGTCGCCTATTACAAGGCTTTTACCCTTGTTACACCAGGACGTAAGTTTACTTAGGAGAAAATCATCTACTACACATTTTGGACTGCTATATACCACAGCTAATTCAATATCTTGCCGTCTACATTTCAGCTTGCATCGCACCAGTTCACACTGCCCTAAATGCTCTTGTGGTTCGGGTACTTTTCGTATACAGGATAACCCCGCCTCCCTTACGGTTTAATCTATCAGCTTTACTGGATAAAAAACCAGTCAACTGAATTTCATTATCAAATACTTCAGACGTTAACCAGGTTTCTGAGACAGCAATAACGTACGGCTTTGTTTTAATCATCATTGACTTGAACTCTGCCATTTTATTTAGTAGGCTGCGAGCATTTGCGTAGCATACCTTTGAGTATGTGGAGAACTTTTCCTTACCACCCAGAGTGGTTTGGGGGTTGTTTTACTGCGAACTCCTACAATTTGAAAACCCTTGTAGCGGTAAATAAATCCCCCAAATAAATGGCTCTGTAAGTTTTCGACATTGGATGCTAACCACATTAGTTTTAGCGGACTCACCTAGCTGAAGGCGCTCGGTCATGTATCCGCACCAGATCACGTGTGGGAACGTCGTGCTCAACATCTACTGCAATCGCTAGCCAGACTAGATCAGACAATTCGGATATATTGGCAATCGTCAAATACAACTTCTCATCTCCTTGATTCTGTCTTTTGATTTCTTTTGGTGGGTACGAGTTATATTAGAAGGTTTTACTGGTAAAAGCGTTATCAAACACTCAATACCTGTGCCGCCTTCACCCTTAAGAACGACGTTTCTTTCACCGTTTTGGTGGCACTCGATTATCTCCACTTCTGCAGCTCGTCTCTTAATAAAATCAACTAGGGTGAGATCCTCACGGACGAATACTCAGGATCCAATCAGATTAAGTGAGTTACCTAGAACCAGGTTCCTTTATTCAGCAGTATAAAACGTAACCTTCAAGTGGAGGCTTTCCGAGGACGTTCGGAATCCACCTTTTGTTTTATTCTATAAAGCTTACAGATGCTAACTTCTGAAACTGT